AAAAAAAATGCACAGTCAAATCTAAATGAAGATTGAAAATGAGCTGACGCTTCCTCTGGGTTAAAGGTATCACCAACAACAAAAGATGGCATTATCTCCACTAAAAAATACAATACAGCAGTATGGATCCCTAAGCACAATTCTGTGCATTTACTAAAACTGTTGACTGTGCAATTACAATAGGTGAATCTCATTCCAAAAAGTGGTTAAAATATATGGATACCTAACAAGGGCAACAAAAGTCATTAAATGTATGTCATAAACGAAAGTTAAATCCATGTTATATGATACGTGATATTCTTAGAGATACTTCTAAAACGGTTTCTCATTAGTTATAGAAACATTCTAAAAGACATATAGCAACTTAAGTATCATAAATATTGAATCCCTGAGATAAAAAGTATCCAGCGACTCTGAATAAACTCCTTATTACTGACCACTTTATTGCTTCCTTCCAATCATGTTGTAAGAAGGAAGAAAAGTAGCTTGTTCACGAGAAACTCTGTTCTCTCTCCTCTGGGCTACTCTAATCCTGCAGATTAAAGCTCGTAATTTTGTTCCAACCTAATTTCCTAGCATGATTCCCTATTCCTCCCATTACACAGTCTAATTTCCAGCCAAGCTGAAAGTCCCATCCACCTGGAGGTTACCTTCCATCCATCTCCAGACAACAACACTCTATTCTTCCTCTAATGTGAATCTCCAATTTCACATTCTCGATCATCCCAAGTGTCACTCTCAGAGAACTCTGCTTTAATCATTCTTATCACAGCTACCAAGAAAGCATGGCTTCATCCTCACCATACTCAGCTCTAAGCTCTAGAAGGACAGGACCTGTCTTATTCACCTGCATATCCCTTAAAGCTTCTAGAAGCACCTCTACACATGCTAAGTGCTCAAAAAGTACTTGTCACATGAATCAATAAGTGGTCACCTTTGGAGTGGGGGAAGCAAAAGCCCCAGCTGCTCCCTCTCCTGCTGCGACAGCGAGCAGAGGCTCCAGGGCCCAGCTCACTCAGCATGGAGAGGAGAAGGAAGACCAAGCCTGTTCTCACCTCCACCTTTCCCTGTTCCTCTCCTCCTCTGTCCACTCCACTCCTCCTCTACCTCTCCTGCCATTTCCCCCTCCTTTTTCACTTCTGTCCCCACCCCCACCACAACCAACACACCCCAGTACTAGGCTGTAGGTAAGCTTCTATGAACAGTTCACGAACCTCCATGCACACCTAAGTCACTCCTCGTGAAGGAAAACGTGGAGACCCTGATCAAGCAGGCCACAGTCACTGGATGTGACTCTTGAAATAAGTCTCCCTTGGATGGGCACGCCATCAGATGTACCCCGGCTTCCTGTGGCTACAGCAGCCACGTGCCTGCAAGAGAAGCTGCTGCTGGCTGGCGAGCAGCTCAGGCTACGGGCTGGGGAGAGGATCAAATTCTGTGACCGAACTCAGAGGATATGTGGTCATTCCATTTTTCTTTCTTTAGGATCCAAGTGACATTTACAGGAATCTATAAAAGTATACCCTCCTTTCAAGGAAAATAGCAAATCAGTAAGAAATTGCAAGAGTTGCCCAACTGACTGCTTGAAGTAAACATGAAAGTGTTTTGTTTCAACTGTGTTGTCTATGCATCCACCGGGTTAGGAGTTCCAAGGACAAAGATCCTACCAGAAATTTCTAAGGCCCCTTTAAATCTCTTCTTTGTTCTTACAGTGATTATTAACTAATATGCAATATTTTGTGGGTACTTCCTGTGTACCAGGCACTGGGCTAAGTATTCTACGTGCACTAATGCATCTAAATCCTCACAATATCCATGAAGTAGGTGCCACCATTATTCTTGTTCAATAGTTGAGGAAACAGAGGCTTAAGAGAAGCTAAATAACTGTCCAGAGAACTCGCAGGAGGAGGCAGAGGACTGAGGATTACTACCTGGGAGACAGGTGAGCCCAGCACCTGCACTCCAAGACCCTTAAGCATGCATAAAAGCAGCTAAGAAAGGTCGCCCCAACCCAGAGAGATGACTGGAAGCAGAGCCTTACCTGCTGTGATCAAATAGGCGTCGGGAACTGTAATATCACACACATATGGCGGCCTGGCCGTGGCCGGTGCTGGAGTAGCTGCTGCTGCTTGGAGAGTGGAGGTGGTCACAGGATGCAGGGACGGCAGGGGGTGAGCAGCGCTGCTGCCATGGGGGTTCTGATGCGCAGGTTTGCTGTTCAGGGCAGTGTCAACGGTATCGTCACCACTGGCACTGGACGCGCTCGGTTCAGTGGAGGTGTTGAGCGGTAAATCTGTGGCCGTGAACGATGGACCCACGATCACTGGCTCTGTCGGCAGAGGTGAGGGGATCGCCTCGAAAACAAATGAGGATGCTGATGACAGGTCCATGTCGGTGATCAATACTGTACTGGTAGGAACGACTTTGGAGAAAGAGGACAAGACAGATGTGTGACCATCACCGGCACTGATATGGTCGTCAGAAGGTATCAGAGTTGAGGACAGAGAAGACTCAGTTAAAACGGGTGTCATATGGAAAGCAGTCAGTAGTGATGTGACATGAGTCCCAGGAGCCAAGATGTCAAGGACGGGGTCAGATCTGGTGGGCACCAGCGTAGTGATGGCAGATTCATGGGAAATGAGTGAAAACTCAAAATAGGAGGTAGTTTCAGTGAAAGCTGAGGTAAACCGAGCTTCAGAATCTGTCAGTGAAACCACCGATGCTTCAGCGAACTTGAGAGAATCAGAGGAGAAGCTTGAGAGCGGTGGCATTTCAGAGTGACTAGGCAGAGAAGTGACTGTATTGAAAGGAAGGCCCGGACTTGGCCACAGTGAAACCACCGATGCTTCAGCGAACTTGAGAGAATCAGAGGAGAAGCTTGAGAGCGGTGACATTTCAGAGTGACTAGGCAGAGAAGTGACTGTATTGAAAGGAAGGCCCGGACTTGGCCACAGCTGAGAAAACTCAACATTTGTGGAATTAGGAACAGAAAGCTGAGGTGACTGCAACATGACAGAGTCAGACAATGTAAATGTCTCGACCATGGTGGAAAAAGACTGAGACGCGAAGGCTGACAAATCGCTTGACACCAGAGACGGGGAAGCAAGTGCTTCTGAAGACGAAGTGACCGAGCTGCTGGATTCCAGCGGTGGAGCTGAGAAAAAGCTGGACGCAAAGTCCAACCGACTTCCAGGTTCATGCTTGAAAAAACGGGCAGTGTCTTGGTCGGAGAAAAGCAAAGACACTACTGAGGGAACCAAACTGTAAGACGTAAAAGGACTTGGGTCTCTGATCACAAGCGATGGCATGTTTTTGTTTGCTGTGACAGAGAAAGAGGAGTCAAGAACACTGGTGAAGACCGAGAAAAACACCGTGGTTACACCAGATGGCATCACTTGGGCTTCAGCAACAGAGGAGCCAAAACTAGGATCAAGTGACACTGGAACAGAGAGGTGGCCGTGGGAAGGGTACACTTGTGTGGTCATCACGCTACTTGTATCCACTCCAGCGGAAATGCCAAAGCTCATTTCTGAGACTTCCACAGATCTAGAAGAAAGGGAGACCATAGGTCTTGAAGGGAAAAGTGTGTTAAATTCTTGAGGATCTTCCTCAAACTCAGAGAAGTCCGCCACCACGCTGCTCAGGGGAGGGAGGCTGCTCGCTTCCAACGCGGTCATGGACAGGGGCTCGGCACCATCCCCCGACCCCATGTCTTTCTCCGTGAAGCTCGTGGCCACAGCGTGCCGTGGTGACGCCACACTGCAGGACATGCACCACGTGTACAGTCTGAATGAAGCCACTGGGCTCAGGCTGTGAGTGTTGTCTGCATGCCGGGGGACCCCTGAATTGCCAGGCAATTGTGACGTTTCTCTGGAGTTGCTGGGAAGAAAGGGGTTATACAAAATATCAGCCGATCGAGTAGAAAAGGTCACGAGTGCAAGGGGAGTTGAACACAAAGCAGAAAGCGTGCTGCTGAGAGCCAGGACCGGATGCACTGGAGTGACAGCTGGGTATGTGCTTAGAAAGGCGGTTTCTTCTAGACGTTGACTCAAAGCAGTGGTCACATCAGTGTATGTGTCTGTACTCGTGGCCAAAACATCCTCTGGAGGCTGCGAGACCTCCCCTGAAGGGGAAAATGGCTGTTGAGTAATGCCATCGCCTATCGGCCGAGGCACAAAAAACTCAGAGCTGGCAAGGAGTGTTTCCCCATCCCCTGCGACTGAAGCCACAATCTCTGGCAAAGTCCTGCTTGAAAACTCACTGTAAGTGTCAGTAGGATAAAGCACCAAATTCCTACTAGGAGTTGGAATTATGCCCTTGGAGGTGGGAAAAGCTGACCAAAAAGCACTGGAATGACTGGGGGATTCAGCATTTGTTGTTGGTCGTTGAATTGTGCTTTGCCAGGCTGATGTCACTTCTATATCTTGTAAAGAAATCATGGGTAGTGATGGAATGAGCACAGGCTCCCACATTTCTTTGGGCAGCCCTGGTGGGCTGACTGTGACATGCTCTAGTGGGGAAACCAGCCGGGAAGTGGCCCAGTGAGTATCTGGTAAAAAGTTATCCATTTCATCGTCATCTATGGCCACCTCATTACTTGTCACCGACACGCCATTTGCCACAAAGAGGCTGTGATCTGCTGTACTTTGGGTCTGTTCTCCTTGCTTAAAAAAGGTTGTATCAAAAGTAGTGGCAGATGGAGAGGGAATGACAGGGAGAGAACTGCTGTGCAGGGACCCTGGAGAAGTTTCTGTTAAGGCCACATGTGCAGCGCTGTGCATGGTGCTTTTCTTCAGGATGAGCTCCACGGGGTACAAAGAGAGGTTGTGCTGTTCCAGAGAGAGCTCATCTAGCAAGAAAATCAAAGTCAGGTTAGCTGTAATGCAATGAAAGTCACACACACTGCCAACGTTCTGTTTCAGGCATAAAAATTCACTCATTCCACAAACATCCGTCACTGTAAACATCCACAGTTCACAGATAGAAGTGAAACAGCTAGTTGAAAGCCAGAAATTGCCAGAATTGACATCAGGACAATATCTGCAAATATTCATAAACCTGAGCACCGAGCTGTGTGTGTGTCATGTTGACATGCTTTTCTCTTGTTTTCTAACAACGTACACTCATAGCCACAGAAGCTCAGAATACTGGAAATGGAGGAGGCCTTCGAAAGCTGTCGAGGCCATCCTCTCTCATTGATCACATAAGTAAAGAGAGGTTCAGAGAAGATAGATAAGTCAGCTACAAGATCACCCACACGCTGTGAAGCTAGGATCTGAATACAAGGCTGTCTTGACTCCAAAACCCATGTGTTTTCTCTTCCATGACAAAAGCTCACTCCTGAGAGGAATGAACATGACACTCTGACAGCATCACCCACTACCCTGGCGGGGAGCTCCACGGTTTCCCAGTTGTGTTCCCAGACACAGCTGCTGAGGCCTTCCACCTGTAGGCCCCAGACTACCTCCAGGCTCAGCTCTCATTCTTCCCTGACCCACTCTCAGGCCTCCCCAGCTGCACTCTGGCCAAATAAGCTATCTGCAGTTCCCCAAACCGAAATACTCTCTGGCCTCGGTGACTGTGCACGCTCTTCTTCCGCTGTCTGGAATGCCCTTCCCTGGCTCTCCACCTGGATTTCTCCTGCTTGTCCTGCAGATGCAGCCTGGATAGAACTTCCTTCCACGATACTCTACAGGTGGGTTAGTGCCTCTCACTAAGCTTCTACCTGTCACATCCCTTAACGAGCCATCCTGAAATGAACCATGTGCACACTAGACTTCAAGCTTCTTGAGGACAGGCACTGTCCACTGTGCCTAGTTTCCCCAGTGCCCAGCTCAGTGAATGACATACAGAAGGAGCTCAATAAGCATCGGTCCAATGAATGAATAAATGGTGTCTGATATGTGCCTAAAGCACCCTATCATCAGCTCAGACTTCCGTATCACTTATCCTTGTGGCCGCTGTCCTCATCACTTCATAAGTTTAGGTGTCCCCCACCTATAATTCAGATTCGCTGCCAAGAGGACAAGTGACAGCCCAGCTGCTGGTGAAGACCCAGGCACTGTCCAGTGTGGCCCAGGCTGGGGACTGCAGCCCTCACAAGCCACAGCAACACTCTCCTCTCACTTATCCCAGCAGTCTATCAGCATACAGTATGGGAAATAGTATAGGGGTGATCATGAATTCACTCTATCTTATTTTGCAAAAGTAACTCATTTCTATTCTATTTCTGGCAATGTGGCAGACTAGAGAGCTTGAAACCCTCCAACTTCAAAAGAATTAAGAATGCTTAATACATGTTTTAAAACATCCTTTTAAGTGACTGATGAGCCTGCAAGACAATAAGGGGAATGTGCTGAGGGAAAGAATAAAGCAGGAGCTGGGCTAGGGAGATGACAGAGCACAGAAGTAACCAGACAGCTGAGGGGGATACCTGGCTGGATGGCCTCATGCTTAGGCCACAGGGCAAGAAGTGACAAGTGCTAGACAAGTAGAGAACCCAGTTGAAGACCATCTTCCAAAAGTGGAAACCCAGGAAGTACTATATTCTCAGGGAAAAAGTGAATTAGGAAGAAAAACATCCACCCCTCAGAAGATAGCAAGAAAAAGTATCTGCCTCCACAGTGTCTCGCTTGACAACACCATGGACTGACTTTCCCTCTTCCCTGTCAAAGTTTCCCCAGTCTCCCCCATCTTTTCCTCAGAATCATTTCCTGGAATAAACTATCTGTACATAAAACCTTGTCTCAGGCTCTGCTTTTGGAGAAAACCCAGGTTGAAACACTGTTATGGGTCGAACTGTGTCCCCCACATATTCCTACTTTGAAGTCCTAACCCCCAGGACTTCACAATGCAACCACATTCAGAAATTGCAGATGTATGCAGTTCCTTGAAGTTGATGCGACAGGCAGACAAGAAGGACATTGTTGGGTGGGAGGGAGGAGAGGGAGGAGGGAGGGAGGTTTCGGTGATGGGCCACAGTAATCAACCACATTGTATATCGACAAAAAAAAAAGAAAGAAAGAAAGAAATTGCAGATGTAATTAGTTAAGATGAGGTCATATTGGAGTGGGTCCTTAATCCAATATGACTGGTGTCCTTATAAAAGGGGAAACTTTCGACACAGACACACACAGAAAGAGAACACCATGTGAAAATGAAGACAGAGATTGAGGTAATACATCTACAAGTCAAGGAACACCAAAGACTGCCAGCAAACCACCAGAAGCTAGGAGAGCAGCATGGAACAGATTCCCCCTCACAGCCCTAAGAAGAAACCAATGCTACCAACACCTTAATCATGGATTTCTAGCCTCCAGAACTGTGACACAATAAAGATCTGTTTTTTTAAGCCAAAAGCAAGAGAGAGAGAAAAGTATCTGTTTGAAATTTGACTTTGTGCAGCTATTGTACAAAAAGTCTCCCTAAGTTTGGAACCTATACTACTTGTACGGTTCTAATACCTACATCCTGCGAATCATAATTTAAAGAGGACCAGGTCTCCAATGGCTGTCAGAGGCTAACATAGATCATCCCCAGAAGAACACATTCTCTAACCAGGTACCAAAGTATTCTTGCAACTAGGGTTGCAGCCAATGAGTGCAGAATTAAAAATTACAGAACACGTAGGGAAATAAGGTAACATGAACAAAATCAAGAGAAACTCCATGAAAAAAGTCAAAAGAAACCCACACAGTTAGTACCAGATCTGTAAAAGATTTTAGATATTGGAATTATGAGATACATATTTTTTAAGTATATTTAATTCATCTAACATAATGAAGAGGAGACTAAAATATGAATAATGAGCAAGAGACTACAAAAACTTACCAGAAATATTTGAAAAAGAAACAAAGAACATTTAGAAATAAAAACCGGTACAATTAAAACATCAATTTAATGATAGCTGAAGCAAGATTTAGTAAACTGGAGGACAGATTTTAAGAAATTACTAATAATGAGGTGCAGAGAAACAAAGAGATGTGAAATGTAAAAAAGACAAATTAACAGATATGGAAGATAGAATGAGACAGTCCAACACACATTTGATCAAAGTTTTAGGAAAAAAAATAGAGAAAATAGGGTAGTGATGATATTCAAAGAGACAGTGCTAGAATTTTCCAAAATTATTAAGAGACATGAGTCCTTCAGTTCAGCAAGACCAAGAAATCCCCAGCAGGGTGAACTTAAAAACAAACAACAAAAAAACCAACCCTACACACATGATGATACCATGAACACCAAAGACAAGGAGACATCATAAAAGCAATCAGATAAAAGGACGGCAAATAGACCAGCAGATAACTACCTCACAAAACAAGAAGCCAGATGGCAATGAAACAAAATCTTCAATGTGCTGAGAGAAAATGTCTGACATCTTAGATTTTAATAAGCAGCAAAACTCTCTATCAAGAAGACACATACAATAAAGACATTTTCAGATAAACAAAAAGGAATTATACCAACAAAAGACCCTCTGTAAGGACCTTCTAACAAGAATATCCTTCAAGAAGGGTAATTATCCCAGAAGGAAGATCTGAGAAGAAGGAACAAGGAATAAAAAAATGATATACACATGTTAAATCTAAACAAATACTGATGGTATAAATGAATAATGATATTACCATACAATTGGTGAGTTTACAAAAGACATATGATTAAAATAGTCATTATAATTGCATAGAAGCTGAGAGAGGGACAGA